CCATTAAATTTCACATAGCCTTACTTTCCCAAAAGTTGTTCTCATCCAGGGTGGACAGCGGTTTCGACCTCGCATCGGTCTTATCAACACCCCCAGCGGAAGTCGAACCGTGACAGTGCAAAATGTGAGCTTAAAATGTCAACCAAACGCCCACATTGCCACGAGTGTCCTTGGGTCACAGGACAGATATGAATTTCAAGGAAGGCCAGGCCTTTTACCTCTATTTAATACGAAAACTAAGTAAAGTAGTCGATTGTTATAGCAAAAATACGCTTGCTTTATTGACAATCTCCTCAAAGAATATGATATGGCGAAAGGCCTGATCTTCCTTGAAATTCACATCTGCCCTGCGACCCAAGGGCACTTGTGGCAATTTGGGCGATTGGTTAACATTTTAAGCTCACATTTTGCACTGTCACGGTTCGACTCCCGCTGGGGTTGTTGATAAGACCGATGCGAGGTCGAAACTGCAGTCCACCCTGGATAAGAACAATTTTTGAGAAAGCAAGGTTATGTGAAATTCAATGTAAACGTCAGCTCTACTCATAACATTGTGGAAAAATTCTACTGACAGTGCTTCATCACCTTAAACGAAATATGGTAAATACATCTCATATTACTGATTTACTGGTAGTCTCGAAATTCTACTTAAATAATAAACATAAATTTGATTATGTTCTGAAGGTCATAAACTAGACAAAATGATCGATATTTCGTATTATTCGGATCCCTGAGACTAGTTTGATATGAATCCTAGTTTGTCCATGATTTTGAGAGCACTATAAATAAAACAATTAAGAATATATTTATCAATAATAATTATTTTATTATCTATTAAAAAACTGTGTATATAGACTAACTATAATGACTAGGAAACCAACTTATTAATTTCACGGGTCTTTAATAATGTTATGAGAAAATGGAAGCAATTGATGCAGCCCTTCTATCTTTTTGAATAGCATGTCTGAACTAATCTAACGAAAATTCCATTATCACTAGAATTCCCAAAAAGCGTGATGGCACTAAAAAAAGAATTTAAGACTCTCACTGATGATGCCGACTACGTCTCGTAATGTATCTAATAAGTGGTCTAATACTGGAAATCAAGAACACTATGGCATAGAACACAGGACTAGGTACGTTCCAAAAGGTATCCCTGTAGCTCCGAACAAGTTGCGAAAACTAGTTCAAACCAACACTATATAGCTAAAGGAGACTGCTACTAAACAGAGAGCCAAACTATCTTTGTCAGAATATCAAGTTTAGAATTCATAGCCCCATTAGATAAGTTTCATCTGGTAAAAGTTTAAATATGTCAAATACAGCAAAGTGATTTTTTGAAGATATATATATATAAGTATAACTTCTAAAAAATGCATCAAAATAAAACTTTGACAGAATTGTAATTACGTAGACATATTCCTTTACCATACAGTGTTTTGTATTTCTTGCAACATTATCTAGTTTAAATATGTAGTTTCCTTGTCCTACATTATTTCGATTTGTATCTTTCTTGAAAAATAAGAAGCAATTATTCGAGGCATTAGTCACTACTTTCCCTTAGAAAAAGACTTATCCATTTTTAGTGACCTTGAGTTTTAGGAAATCATCTTAATAAATATATGTCTAATTTAGCTCATTGTGTGATGCCCACAATGTCTCTTTTATAGAGAAGAATACCTGAATACAATGAACAGTTTCATTTTCTACAAATATTTTTAAATAGACTGCCTCGCTAAAGCGACAATTTTGTAACTTACTTCTTGTCGTTCGTTCCTCCTTTCGCTTTTCAGGCAACTCATCCAAATCTAAATCCTTCCTAATCCCTCGATCAGTCATAGGTTCAGCATCATTTGTTATCCCGTCTGTGGTGGCCCAGTATTCGTGTGCCATCAGAACTGCTCCTCCATTAGAAGAGGCTGTTGATTTATTCTCATTCTCAACAATGGAATCATTAACGGCTCTATTTGGCTGCCTGATTGCTGATGCCAAGCTATCTTTTGATATATCATTGTTGCCTACTATTAAAAAGGTTTCAGAACAGAGGTCTGAATAGTCGTAACAAGCTGCGGAATAATTTGCATTGTGAGGTCTAGTTGCACTCAAATCAGACATTTGTGTTTTTCCGAATAAGGCTTCGTAAGCTCGCACCATTTCTGTAACCTGTTATTGAAAATTATTTATAATTTTTATTTAAAATTAAATCGCTATAGAAACAACAAATATTAACAGAGCAAATTTTAGACAAATAATTATTCTGGCCTAAATCTTTTATCCGTCTTGAGGAATGCCCAATGTAACAATTAACAAATTATCCTATTATAAAAAATGGTGTGAAATAAAACAAATAAAAAATTTAATAAGTGCAAATTTTGCTATATAAACAAAAGATTTTTTTCTATGGATATTAAATTTAATTCTTATTTTGTAATTTTTAGAATATTTTCGAAAGCATTTTCATGCAAAAGAGGTTTTGCCCAGATAGTTGAAGGGCTCAGTTTAGGTTACTCATTTGAACTAGTTAGTCTAGAGAGTGTACCACTTTATCATAGAGACAATTATTTTTGTATCATTTTTTCCCCTTATTAAGGAAACTTTCTTCTGTCTATATTTGGTTAACTATTTAGCAAGTTATTTTTATAATTTTAATAAATAATAAGTCATTACTGCTAATTTAATGTTCCAAGTGAGCGAATAATCGCGAATGTTTAATTATGTGCTTTATCCAAATATGGGTTTCACGACAGGTATATTAGTTAGGATAAGGTCATTAATTGATAACTATTATCTTAATGATCATTTCACCTCATAATTATGTAAGTGGGTTAAGAAGAACCTCTCAGAGTTTTTGTTCATTTTAGATATGAGTATTTCTCGAAACTTTGAGGGATAATTGAATAACTTAATCACTCTAGGTATCTTAAGGTAATTTAAGGCCTCTCGATGCCTCTGAATTTCACTTGGCCCTGCTTGTATGAAAACATTTTAATTAAGGATGGACTTCATTTTTGACATCATCTAGGTAAAATTCCAACCTTTGACGGTATTTGATACTTTGTTAATCGTGACCACGTTACCACTCTACCAAATAGCTATGCTTTTCAATAAGTTACAGAGGATATAAGACTTTCCAAAATAGCGATACCTCTGCTAAATATAAATATAAATATAAATATATATATATATACACGTTTACCTTTTCAATCAACGAGGTTACTTACTTTCGATTTGAGTAGTTTATGATACTAAGTTGTTATTCAAATATTACTTGAAGTCTTACTAACTAATTGTATAGAAAGTATTTGGCGTCGTTGATTGAAAGGATAAATATATATATGCTTAATCGGCAGGAATACTATAAATGTGAGTTGGCAAAGGTCTGGTTTATCTTAAATGTTACATCTCCTCTGTGACCTACTAGCACGCTAGGCCATGTAATGGAATTGTAAGTTCGCCCGGTAGCGAATAGCACTTTAGGTGTTGACGAGAACGAAACGAGGTCAAAATTGCTATCAACCCTGATGAAGTACGGGTAAGTGGAATTCAAAGACATCGAGGGCCCACTTATCTCATTGTAAGAACAACAAAATATTAATCCTTAAATCACCTCAAGTGGACTCATAGTGGCTTAGATCTTATAATGGTTAATTTCGACCATATACAAGTTAAATAACACATGCGAACTCTGTGGAATAATAAATTCTAAATTTCGCATAATGTCTGAGAAAAATTTAATTAGAAATTAGCCACATTATTTACGTCACGGAAAATATATATATGGACTCTGCGTATGCAGAATGGGAAAAATTATCACATTATTAAAACAAAGATTTTTATATTAAGGAATAAAAATAATCTCGGGCTGGCAAGCTATTTAGCCGGAAATAATTTCCGGAAAGAAATTTATGTTATGCGATTAACTAAAAATATAAACAGGCCTCTCAAAAGAGCTCTACAGTCAAGAATGTAAAATAAAAAAGCGAGTCCAATTTAGCATTTTGGTAGTTGAATAGACTCAAAAATATGCAGAGCGGCAGAAGTTATGGCGTTAGATATAGAAGAACGAGATTAGCATAAAGGTATCCATAGCAAAAATAAACTCGCAAAAAAATATCGTTAAATATTTTATTTTTGTTCTATTCAGTAATGTACTATACTGTGGTATAATATAGCATAATAAAATATAATTTATTGTACTATAATATACTGTAATATGCTATACTAGATAATTTCCCCTTTTGCTTAATTTAAAATATGTATTAAATACAAATGATTACCTTAACGTCACCATAGCCCATTAAAAATTATTTATAGGACAATTGGTTTTTCGTCTAGATTATCAGAAGCGTGCATAATCCTCTGGCTATAGTAAATATTTTAACTGAAATAATACATGAGATTTGAATTAAATAAAGTTGTATAATCTTATATACCTATTCTTCGCTAAGATCGTCTATTTCAATGTGCATTCATTGCGTAGTACCTATAAGTTATCCATTTCACAAGCGAAATTGTCAAGGGTTCTTTAGAAGTCGAGATGAATCTACTTGTTGCCAAATACTTATATATTTCTCATTACTGCTGATGTTTTTATAGTCTCTAACATGAATTCGTAATGGTATACAATATTCACTCCTCTTTTTCTGATATTACTTATTTACTGGTAGTTTCGAAACTCTACTTATATACGAAATATAAATCTGGGGCTAAATGAATCACAGTTTGATCCGGCAAAATCATTACACATGGTGAGTACTCTAATCATGAAAAGATAAGTATATATAACCTGTCATTTAGATACTTTCATTATTTACGTATCTATATTTAAGTGAAGGCAAGAAGTCAGTTTCCTGAAAAAAACATATGAAATTAAAGCCTTTGTTAGTTAATGAATTGTACATGGATTAAAAATTTTGTATCGAATTAATAAATGGAAGAATTAGTCAAATGAGATATTTGTTGGCAATTGAGTTAATTTGTTGACAATTTATTTTCAAAAAAATTAATAAATGAAATTTCTAGGTTAACTCCTTTATGAAAAGATCCTTTACACGTTCAAGTAAATGGGAGATATTGATAATAGTTTACAGTTTAATAGGTAAGACTGGCAAAATCCAAAAATTGAAATCATTGCTTCGAAAAATGAATATCTCCCTGAGTTAATCTATAGGAATCATTCACATTTTACTCTATTGGTCCCCTTATTTAACCTCGATATTAAATGCCCCGACTACTCATACGAATTTGCTTTAGAATTAGAATGAGAAGAGATTTATGTTGCTGACAAAGTGTTTAAAATACCACACCCGACATTAAATTTTTAAGGTATTTATCTAGTTTACAATTTTTAATGAGCATACCTTCAAGTTAATAAGAGTCTGTTAAAAGTCTCGCACTTCATAAACTAAATTAATCACATAGTGACGGATGGTCTTTGGGATAAACCTTATTTTTACGTAAGAAATAGTAATCTCCATATGCACCAAATACAGATAGCAAAAAAAATAAAACCAATCTGATCAAGATGCTAACGTTACATTCACTAAAACGTAAAATTAATTGATAAATTAAGAATAAAACAAGTGTTACTATGAATTTAGATGAGATATTCTGCAAATACTATCATTTACCTTGCCATTTATCCGTCGCCACCGATATGAATCATCAAGATGTTTACTTTGAGCTGCAAAATCTTGCCCTGAAGGCAGTCGAGTCTCGGACATTGCACGCTGACTAGAACCAACGAGCGCCAGATTCATCTGCTCCAGCTGTTTCCGTTGCTGTGCAAACCGAATACTTCGACGTGGTTGAACAAAGCCAACCACATCCAAGCTATCCAAACATTTGGCTTTAGAGTCATACCCGAATTCATCAACCTCAGTTTCCTTTATATTTCCAGGAAAGAGTTGAATAAGACTGCATGAAGTAATTCCGGACCTACCTGTGAGCAGAGGTCGCCCTAACTTTTCAGAAACTTTAGTTTGAGTTGGCTCTAATGAGTTGCCTGACCCGTTAAGAGGGCTAAAGAACTTAGCTGCAGGCGGATCCAGTGGCATAATGTTCGGAGACCCCTTTCCCTGACATAGTTGAATTCTGGGTTTAGTGGACTTAGTAAATGATAAGTCCTGAGGGATTCCATCAAATAGCTTGATTTTTGTTGAGATAAGGCTCGATTTCCAGGGAGGGTTGATATGAGTAGCTTTATCTACAGCGTCAAAGTCAGTATTGTCGCAAGTGTTGTGGTCCTGAGGCCATAAATCAGCGTATGAATTGGCCAAATGAGTTTGAAGACCTAGGTTTGGAGTGTCGCACAACTTACTGAATGATCTAGTTTGTAAATCTAAACAGTAATGATGTGAGTGAAAAGAGTTTTGAACATTAAATTATATTATATTATATTATATTATATTATATTATATTATATTATATTATATTATATTATATTATATTATATTATTAGATATAATCAAGCGAAATAATTGCTCACTAGAGACATTTGTTGTATAAATTGTAATGACACAGTACTTCAAAATTTCGATACCAAAAATAGGTACTAGGCCTTATAAAGGATAATTCGCACACTGATGGCCTATGCATACTACAGAAAACCATCATATTCAGAATCGTCTCTATGGTTAAGAGGTCTTTATGGTCTCAAATTGCCTATATATATAAAAAGAAGGGATGTCGCGTAGAAAAGTTGATTTCA